TCGGTAGGCCATGTGTTGTGCGTGACCTGCGGTCTGCTACAACGTCTCCTCATGTGTTTCAGTCTCTGGGAACGCCGGGTTGGTTCCCTTTACCTCGCACATTCTATCGATGTCGTTAAGCGATCATCGATAGAGGGTCTGCTAGTTTCCTTGAAACTCTTGTTTTCGAAAAATCAAGAGTTTCAAGTCATCTTACCAATATGTTGTTCCTGGTCCTGGTCCTGAAGGGTCCTGGTCCTGGTGGGTCCTGGTCGTGGCGGGTCCTGGTCCTGGTTGGTCCTGGTCCCGGTGGTTCCTGGTCCTCTGCATCCACGCCGTGGGGGGGGGGGGAGCAGCCGCAAATTCTCCTAGTCTCCTAGTCAAGGTTCCAGTTAGCGGGTGCCAACTGGGACCTTGGTCTGGGGTACCTGGTTCTGCGGTTGCGAGGCCTCTCGTCCGGATCGTAGTCCATGAGGAATCGTAGCTGCTCGTTCGGGTGGTCCTGAGCTTTCTCGAAGGTCTTCTCCGCTTTTTTCCTCATGTACTCGTGGATGGTATCCCAATGCAGGTCTCTACGCAAGGTTGAGTTCCTTACGTAGGAAGGTGCATTGGTGGCGATCCGGAGTAGCTTCATCTCTAGAGCAGCAAGTCGCTTGCGGTAGCTGGGGGCAGCGTACCCCCAGACCGCGGAGGCGTAAGCGAGCTGAGGTCTGGCGATGGCCTTGATCAGCCGTAGCTTGGTCGCTAGCGGCATCTGGCTGTGTCTACCCAGTAATGGATAGAGTTGAGCCATGGCTGCTCTGGTTTTTGCGATGACAGCTTCTATGTGCGCTTTCCAGGTGAGGGACTTGTCAAAAACGATCCCCAGATATTTGACATTGTCGCTCCACTGGATATCTTCATCGAAGATGGATGCTTCGAGAGGTCTTGCAATCCTTCTTCGTTGAATGAAGATTGCCTGCGTCTTCTGGACGTTGATGCGGATTTTCCATTTCACGCACCAGTCCTGAATTTGGTCCAGTTCACCCTGTAGTCTCTCTACGGATGATCTCGGGTCGTCTATGCTTGGCGGCTATAGCAGTGTCGTCTGCATATAGGGCCAGCATTGTGTCAGCTGTCTTCGGCACATCGTAAGTATAGATGTTGTAGAGCAGGGGGGCTAAGGCTGACCCCTGGGGCACGCCTGCTTCCAGCTGACGTCTTGTTGAATGGCATGTACCAATCTCTCACCGTGAACCATCTTTGTGTTAGATAGCTCTGGATCAGTTGGCACATGTTCGCATCGATTCCGGCGGCTTCCATTTTGGCGATGAGTCCATCGTGCCAAACTCGGTCGAAGGCTCGTTCCACGTCCAGCAGGACGAGACCGGTTGCCTCCTGGAGATTGAAGCCGCTGGTGATGTTTTCCGTCAGTCGTAGCGCTTGGAGTTCCGTGTTGTGGGAGGATCTGAAGCCGAATTGCTCTGGGGGGAGAAGTTGCAGTTCTTCTGCCTGCTTCTCTAGTCGAACGGCGATAGCCTTTTCGACTACTTTGCCCACCGAGGAAACCAGGCTGATGGGCCGGTAGTTCTGGGGCAACTTCCGGTCCTTGCCTGGCTTGGTGAGCATTATAACCTGGGCTTCCCGCCACCGCCGCGGGAAGTGGTTAAGTCTCAGAGTGGCATTGGCGATGTTGGTGAGCGCAGCAATGCCTTTGGTGGGAAGGTTCTTCAGCATCCTATTGTTGATGCCGTCCCTTCCCGGCGCCTTTCTGACCTTCAACCTGCGGATGATCAGACGGATTTCCTCCGGACTGGAGGGGTGATCCGTCTCCTGGCCAGGTGGTCGACTCCTCATGTTTTCGGCTGCGACTTCCACGGCCTCCTCGTGGTTGTCGTCTTCGTCTTCATGGTAATTGAGTCTGCATTCGGATTCTAGCGAATCGGCGAATGCTTCGGCTTTTTCTTCACTGGAGTAGGCCAAGCCGCGTTGGCCGTGAAAGTGGGGATCGTGGTGCGCTGACGACGAAATTTTCGCTGCATAGACCAGGCCGTACCATCCTGGGTCTCTAGTTCTGCACAGGCTGCATTCCATCTGTTGTTTTGGAGTTCCGCGAGTGCGTTCTTCAGAGCTAACGATGCTCTGTTTCGCGCAACTCTCGACTCCTCTGTCAACAGCTGGAGATGTTCTCGCTTGAGTCTTCTGTTCTCCCTGATCAGGTGCCTAATATGGTGCGGTGCTGGACCATTTAGGTATCTAGGACTGCCGTAGTCTCGGAGCGGGTGCTGCCCTCGTGCGCTCGCAGGACAGCATTCTCCAGCTCCTCTACTGCGTTGTCCAGTTCCTCCGCTGATCGGATGGTTGGAATTTGAGTGATGTTCCTCTGGACGTTGGATTTGTAAAGGTTCCAGTTCGTCCGTTTGGTGCTCAAGCTATCTCGAGTTCTAGACCCTGTACCAAGTGTTAGTAGAATCGGATTGTGGTCCGACGATCCTTCCACCAGGGTCTCTATCTCGAACTCCTCTCTGATGTTGCGGAGGATGGCTATGTCCAGTACCGCAGGTCGCCCAAGGCCGAATGGAATGTAGGTTGGTTGCTCCGGACCGACGATGACCCCCCCGCCAGGGCATCGACGTGTTCCTGGAGCTGCCTTGCATTCCTGTCTTCGACGTTGTTGTTCCAAGCCGGAGACTTGCAGTTTAGATCTCCGATGACTATGCGTGCTCCTGGGCCTCTCAGGAGGTCAGCGATGTCATCTTCGTCTAGGGCCTCCCCTGGTGGCACATATAGGGAGGTGATTCTGTAGGGACGGTGGTTGTGATGGACCTGGACCGTGATTCCGTCCCCATTTATGTCTGCGGCATCGTCGAGGACATGACTCGTCAAGGTACGTTTGACGAGTAATGCGACTCCTCCACCTCTGCCCCTTCTGTCGTACCGGTACGTCTCGTACCGCGGGAACGTCAGACTATGGGCAGCATCCAACTTCGTTTCTTGGATGGCCATCACCTCTGGTTGGTACTGGTCTAGTATCTCCTGGATTTCTGGTTTCCGTGCCCTGAAACCGTTGATGTTCCAGGAGATAATGCGTAGAGATTCTACGTTTTGACCTGTAGACATTTCGGGTCTAGTGCTTGTCTTGCATCTTGGCCTCGAGTGCATCCAGGCGGGTTATGATGGCTTGCATCATTGCTAGCAGTCTGTCATCGCCGTGTTTGCTTCTGCGCAGTAGTTCCAGTAGCAGTGGCGGCTGCTGGGGCAGAAGTGGACATAGGCTTCTTCACTTTTGGGGCGTAAGAAGTCCTATTTGTGGTGGGGACTGCTTTGGGGGCAGAAGCAGCTTTCTTCGGCGCCTTACTACATCCCTTGTAGTTGGCGGGGTGGCCTTCTCCACAGAGGCAACACTTGGCGTTTCGTTGCCCTGTTGGCGGCGCTGGCAGACTGCAGCTGGTGCTGTTGTGGTCCTCTCCACACTTAACGCACCGTTCAGCGAGACGGCAGTTCCGCTGTGTGTGCCCGTACCGCTGGCAGCGGTAGCACTGGCTGGCTCGGAAGACTTTTTTCTTCCTCTCGAAGCTGACCGTGAGCATTGCCAGCCTCTGGATCTCTGCAAGCTTTTCCGGCATCTTCGTCTTGACGAGGAAGAGCGGAAGTGGCTTCTTTGTGGTCCTTGAGGTCAGCTGCTGAACCACGGCGTCTGCGATGCCTTGCTCTCCAGATCCTCTTTGATGTCATTGACTGACATCTCTCTCGGAAGCCCACGAATGACCCTCTGGTCCATCCCTGTCCTCCTTCAGTTGATATGTGAAGAAGGGCCGCTTGATGGATTCAAGCAGTGCGACTAGCTGACGGTAGTCAGCTGGTGTATTTGTGAATACCTTCACACTGGTACCCGCCGTCCTCGCTTTGGAGAATTGAATCCCCTTGCTGTTCATCATCCTACTCAAGGATGACCAATCAGCGGTGCCCTCGATGTGATTGGCGGAACTCCTGTTCCTGCCATGGGGGCCTCGGTGGTCCTGGTTGCTCTAGGACCACTCTTCTTTGTGGCAGCTGGCATCTTTCGCTGCCGCTGCCCGCGATTTCGGGGGGTCCCGCGACCCCGCGACTTCGGGGGTCCCGCAGGCCCCGCGATTTCGGGGGGTCCCGCAGGCCCCGCGATTTCGGGGGGTCCCGCAGACCCCGCGATTTCGGGGGGTCCCGCAGGCCCCGCGATTTCGGGGGGTCCCGCCGACCCCGCGACTTCGGGGGGTCCCGCAGGCCCCGCGATTTCGGGGGGTCCCGCCGACCCCGCGACTTCGGGGGGTCCCGCAGGCCCCGCGATTTCGGGGGGTCCCGCAGGCCCCGCGATTTCGGGGGTCCCGCAGGCCCCGCGATTTCGGGGGGTCCCGCAGGCCCCGCGACTTCGGGGGGTCCCGCCGACCCGCGACTTCGGGGGGTCCCGCCGACCCCGCGATTTCGAGGGGTCCCGCCGACCCCGCGACTTCGGGGGGTCCGCCGACCCCGCGATTTCGAGGGGTCCCGCCGACCCCGCGACTTCGGGGGGTCCCGCCGACCCCGCGATTTCGGGGGGTCCCGCAGGCCCCGCGATTTCGGGGGGTCCCGCAGGCCCCGCGATTTCGGGGGTCCCGCAGGCCCCGCGATTTCGGGGGGTTCCCGCAGGCCCCGCGACTTCGGGGGGTCCCGCCGACCCCGCGATTTCGGGGGTCCCGCAGGCCCCGCGATTTCGAGGGGTCCCGCAGGCCCGACGATTTCGGGGGTCCCGCCGACCCCGCGGATTTCGGGGGTCCCGCAGGCCCCGCGTTTTTCGGGGGGTCCCGCCGACCCCGCGATTTCGGGGGGTCCCGCCGACCCCGCGACTTCGGGGGTCCCGCCGACCCCGCGATTTCGGGGGTCCCGCCGACCCGCGATTTCGAGGGGTCCCGCCGACCCCGCGACTTCGGGGGGTCCCGCCGACCCCGCGATTCGGGGGTCCCGCAGGCCCCGCGATTTCGGGGGGTCCCCAGGCCCCGCGACTTTCGGGGGGTCCCGCGAGGCCCCGCGACTTCGGGGGGTCCCCAGCCGACCCCGCGACTTCGGGGGTCCCGCCGACCCCGCGATTTCGGGGGGTCCCGACCCCGCGACTTTCGGGGGGTCCCGCCGACCCCGCGATTTCGGGGGTCCGCCGACCCCGCGATTTCGGGGGGTCCGCCCGACCCCGACTTTCGGGGGGTCCCGCAGGCCCCGCGATTTCGGGGGGTCCCGCAGGCCCGCGACTTCGGGGGGTCCCGCCGACCCCGCGATTCGGGGGGTCCCGCAGGCCCCGCGATTCGGGGGGTCCCGCAGGCCCCGCGATTTCGGGGGTCCGCGGCCCCGCGATTTCGGGGGTCCCGCAGGCCCCGCGATTTCGGGGGGTCCCGCCGACCCCGCGACTTCGGGGGGTCCCGCCGACCCGCGATTCGGGTGGTCCCGCAGCCCCGCGATTTCGGGGGGTCCCCGACCCCGCGATTTCGGGGGGTCCCCGCAGGCCCCGCGATTTCGGGGGGTCCCCGACCCCGCGACTTCGGGGGGTCCCGCCGACCCCGCGATTCGGGGGTCCGCCGACCCGCGATTCGGGGGTCCCGCCGACCCCGCGATTTCGGGGGGTCCCGCACCCCGCGATTTCGGGGGGTCCCGCCGACCCGCGATTCGGGGGGTCCCGCGACCCCGCGATTTCGGGGGTCCCGCCGACCCGCGATTCGGGGGGTCCCGCAGGCCCCGCGATTTCGGGGGGTCCCGCCGGCCCCGCGATTTCGGGGGGTCCCGCAGGCCCCGCGATTTCGGGGGGTCCCGCCGACCCCGCGACTTCGGGGGGTCCCGCAGGCCCCGCGATTTCGGGGGGTCCCGCCGACCCCGCGACTTCGGGGGTCCCGCCGACCCGCGATTTCGAGGGGTCCCGCCGACCCCGCGACTTCGGGGGTCCCGCAGGCCCCGCGATTCGGGGGGTCCCGCCGACACCGCGATTTCGGGGGTCCCGCCGACCCCGCGAACTTCGGGGGTCCCGCAGGCCCCGCGATTCGGGGGGTCCCGCCGACCCCGCGATTTCGGGGGGTACCGCCGACCCCGCGATTTCGAGGGGTCCCGCCGACCCCGCGACTTCGGGGGTCCGCCGACCCGCGATTTCGGGGGTCCGCAGGCCCAGCGATTTCGGGGGGTCCCGCAGGCCCCGCGATTCGGGGGGTCCAGCAGGCCCGCGATTTCGGGGGTCCCGCAGGCCCCGCGATTTCGGGGGGTCCCGAAGGCCCCGCGATTTCGGGGGTCCCGCAGGCCCCGCCGATTTCGGGGGGTCCCGCCGACCCCGCGATCTTCGGGGGGTCCCGCAGGCCCCGCGATTCGGGGGGTCCCGCAGCCCCGCGATTTCGGGGGGTCCGCCCGACCCCGCGATTCGGGGGGTCCGCCGACCCCGCGATTCGGGGGTCCCGCCGACCCCGCGATTTCGGGGGGTCCCGCAGGCCCCCCGCGATTCGGGGGGTCCCGCAGGCCCCGCGATTTCGGGGGGTCCCGCAGGCCCCGACTTGGGGTCCCCGCACCCCGCACTCGGGGGTCCCGCAGGCCCCGCGACTTCGGGGGGTCCCGGGCCCCGCGATTTCGGGGGGTCCGCAGGCCCCGCGATTTCGGGGGGTCCGCCGACCCCGCGATTTCGGGGGGTCCCGCAGGCCCCGCGATTCGGGGGTCCCGCAGGCCCCGCGATTTCGGGGGGTCCCGCCGACCCCGCGATTTCGGGGGTCCCCGCAGGCCCCGATTTCGGGGGTCCCGCCGACCCCGCGATTTCGGGGGGTCCCGCCGACCCCGCGATTCGGGGGGTCCGCAGGCCCCGCGATTTCGGGGGGTCCCGCCGGACCCCGCGATTTCGGGGGGTCCCGCCGACCCCGCGACTTCGGGGGGTCCCGCAGGCCCCGCGATTCGGGGGTCCCCGCCGACCCCGCGACTTCGGGGGGTCCCGCCGACCCCGCGATTTCGGGGGGTCCCGCAGGCCCGCGATTTCGGGGGGTCCCGCAGGCCCCGCGACTTCGGGGGGTCCCGCCGCACCCCGCGATTTCGGGGGGTCCCGCCGACCCCGCGATTCGGGGGGTCCCGCCGACCCGCGACTTCGGGGGGTCCCGCAGGCCCCGCGATTCGGGGGGTCCCGCAGGCCCCGCGATTTCGGGGGGTCCCGCACCCCGCGATTTCGGGGGTCCCGCGACCCCGCGATTTCGGGGGGTCCCGCAGGCCCCGCGATTTCGGGGGGTCCCGCCGACCCCGCGATTTCGGGGGTCCCGCACCCCGCGACTTTCGGGGGGTCCCGCAGGCCCGCGATTTCGGGGGGTCCCGCAGGCCCCGCGATTCGGGGGTCCGCAGGCCCCGCGATTTCGGGGGTCGCCGCCGGCCCCGCGACTTCGGGGGGTCCCGCAGGCCCCGCGACTTTCGGGGGGTCCCGCAGGCCCCGCGACTTCGGGGGTCCCGCAGGCCCCCGCGATTTCGAGGGGTCCCGCCGGCCCCGCGACTTCTGGGGGTCCCGCCGACCCCGCGACTTCGGGGGGTCCCGCCGACCCCGCGATTTAGGGGGGTCCCGCCGACCCCGCGATTTCGGGGGGTCCCGCCGACCCCGCGATTTCGAGGGGTCCCGCCGACCCCGCGACTTCGGGGGGTCCCGCCCGACCCCGCGATTTCGGGGGGTCCCGCAGACCCGCGATTTCGGGGGTCCCGCAGGCCCCGCGATTTCGGGGGGTCCCGCAGGCCCCGCGATTTCGGGGGGTCCCGCAGGCCCCGCGATTTCGGGGGGTCCCGCAGGCCCCGCGATTTCGGGGGGTCCCGCCGACCCCGCGATTTCGGGGGGTCCCGCCGACCCCGCGACTTCGGGGGGTCCCGCAGGCCCCGCGATTTCGGGGGGTCCCGCCGACCCCGCGACTTCGGGGGGTCCCGCCGACCCCGCGATTTCGAGGGGTCCCGCCGACCCCGCGATTTCGGGGGGTCCCGCAGGCCCCGCGATTTCGGGGGGTCCCGCAGGCCCCGCGATTTCGGGGGGTCCCGCAGGCCCCGCGACTTCGGGGGGTCCCGCCGACCCCGCGACTTCGGGGGGTCCCGCAGGCCCCGCGACTTCGGGGGGTCCCGCAGGCCCCGCGATTTCGGGGGGTCCCGCAGGCCCCGCGACTTCGGGGGGTCCCGCCGACCCCGCGACTTCGGGGGGTCCCGCAGGCCCCGCGACTTCGGGGGGTCCCGCAGGCCCCGCGATTTCGGGGGGTCCCGCAGGCCCCGCGATTTCGGGGGGTCCCGCAGGCCCCGCGATTTCGGGGGGTCCCGCCGACCCCGCGATTTCGGGGGGTCCCGCCGACCCCGCGACTTCGGGGGGTCCCGCAGGCCCCGCGATTTCGGGGGGTCCCGCCGACCCCGCGATTTCGAGGGGTCCCGCCGACCCCGCGACTTCGGGGGGTCCCGCCGACCCCGCGACTTCGGGGGGTCCCGCCGACCCCGCGATTTCGAGGGGTCCCGCAGGCCCGACGATTTCGGGGGGTCCCGCAGGCCCCGCGACTCCGGGGGGTCCCGCAGGCCCCGCGATTTCGGGGGGTCCCGCAGGCCCCGCGATTTCGGGGGGTCCCGCCGACCCCGCGACTTCGGGGGGTCCCGCAGGCCCCGCGATTTCGGGGGGTCCCGCAGGCCCCGCGATTTCGGGGGGTCCCGCAGGCCCCGCGATTTCGGGGGGTCCCGCCGACCCCGCGATTTCGAGGGGTCCCGCCGAC